CAACTGGAATCGAGTCGAGTTCCATGCAGACTCAGTTTTGCATTGACTTTAACTAAAGACTGTAGAACAGGCTGTCATTATAAGAATTCCACGGACACAGACGTCTGACAAATTGGGATCAATTGTAAGATATTTTTTGAAATGTTCTTTTACTCCAAAACAACAACAAAAACATCTTACACCTGTGGTTCTCCTCCATTTATTCACAGTAAAATATGAAAGTGATTAATTTGTCCACATCAATTATAATTACATTTCACAGATTTTATTCAAATAACTAAATAAAAACTCTTTAGTTCATAGGAATAACAATAGTCAAATGTGGTTTTCATAAAGAAGATAAGATTATAAGAATATTATCATACTTTCCTTTTATTACTCGTCTTGTGTAATTTATACTGAGCATAAATGCATACAAGTTTAGATTAGCGTTTCATCTTTTTACATATATAGACTTTTTTGTGCTGCAATTTTATGTGAAAAATGTAACATTTTTATACTCTGCTGATGAATGTTTTCATATGTCACATGTTGTCAACCAACGTTTACATCACTGAACAATGTAAATTTCAACATCCTGCCTGAACGACTGCATGATTAGCATACTGATATCAGATCATTTGAATCCTGAAATATGTTAAACTCGTGACAAGTTACACCCTCTGTTTCACTCTGCTAAAAACTAGTTGTTGTTTTTTTTTCCTGAAAATGCTAATGTTGCATTAATCTGAAAGCTCAGCATTTGTTTTCGGTGGACAGTCTGACGACGCCTCCATTTCGGAGTGCTGAAGTGGGTGATGATAGATGACAGCATCGATGATGCATATATTTAGATATGAGATATAATGAAGAATGTTCCTCTGCAGGATCAACAGTTTGTGTTTCACAGCCCTCTTAGTCAGCTGATGGATATTCTCATTAAACAAACTGCACTGGTGTGTGTTGGTGTGTGTGTAAACACATGACTAATCAATGCATTTTAGCAAGTGCAGGAGAATATTTCTCTAGATTTTCTGTCTAAATAAAAAGAAAACTGCTCTCCTTAGGAAAAAAAGCTAGTTAATGACCTTAAATGCATATTTTTGCACCATGAATTCAATCAATTCACACCATCTGAAAAAAAAAGAATATCTTTCCACGGTGACACAATGATGCTCTGCTCACTTATGTTTTTTGTTTTTTTTTTTGCTTTTCCCGATATTAAATCACAGATAAGAAAAATGTCAAGAAAAATGGTATTTACTGGTACTGATATTATTTCCCTGGGATTCCTTGGTTGGTTGAGTGTTTTCATATCTTACTGATTAACTGATTAAGATTGTTGATTCACTCACTGTAATCCATCTTACAGGAGAGAAGATTCTGGTCTGCTGGTTTATAAAGATGACCTGCCAGTCAGCCAGGTTGCCGTGGGCGACACCAACCGACCTGGATCATCAGCCAAACTGACTGTCGGGCCGCTCCACTGCCAGGGAGATAG